CGCAGGTGCCCCCGCCATCTCGTGATCCGAGTCGACGGGCACGTCGCGGCCCTCGATGGACTAACTCCACGTGCGCAGGCAGGTTGCCCCGCGATAGGAAAGCCCAGCCAGTCTGCCAGGTCGATCTCATCGTGACCAACGTATTTCTCCTCGAAGAGCTCGTCGGCGCACCTCTCCAGGGACACGCCGGCGCTCAGATGCTTCGCGGACATGACGTGGACAACGGCCGCGGGGTTGTCTTCAAGTTCGGCGAGAGCCCCCCAAACAACATACTTGTCGGAATCGGTTTGAGCCAAGTGCATCGACGGGCCCCTGCCCCCCCCATCGCCTCGGGAGCACTCGCGGCGAAAATGCTGGGCACTATGACAAATATTGCACTCTCTGGTTTTACCGCTGGCATCTTTCGGGCCCCCCCGACGCCCCATGCCCTTTTCTCTCGGCGCGCCCGCGGCCTCTACCTGCCCCTGGGAACTCATCCGCATAGCGTGGCCCCGCAAGAGACGCCGGGAATGTTAGCGCATAGCGCACCTCTGCCATGAAATCTGCGTCTTCTACCCTTGCCTCTACCCTTGCCCTTTGACCTGAACACCCGTCGGGCTGCACCTCGCACCTATCGAACTTGTTCCTACAGAAAGCGTCTCCGTCGGCGCTTGTGCTTCTGGTGCCCTAGGAATATCCACTGCGCCTGCTGCTCTGCAGTGAGGTGCGCAGGCATGTCAGGGCAATCCAGGTCACCAACTCCCTCGTCTGATGAGGCGCCAGCGTCGGTGCCAGAAACAAACGGGGACTCCGCGGGTTGCCCCGCCGAGCCCGCAAGAGCAATGGCTCGGGCCGTTGCCGACGGCCCCCAATATCGGAACCAAGAGTCTTGCGACCACGTGGGCTGGCCACCTTGTCGGCTTAGTAAAAAGTGGTGGTCTCGGTTGGTTGTGGATCGTCATTCCACACGTTGTTAGCAGGTTGCCCTGCATGCGTGTCGGCATGATAGACGTCAGCACGGTGGCCATAGCTGAATACACCACCAATGTTGCCAGGGGTTCGCATAGCAATACGGGCACAAGCTCTCATGCGCTCTAGGAAGGCGTCGCGCTGCTGCTGAGTCCGCGGCACGAGGTGGTTACACGCACGCGATGCACTCACACCGATGCACGCGATGCACTCACACCTAGGGCTCTAAACAGTATAACTGTCAGGATCTGGAAATTTGGGACGTTGCAGCCGACGGCGTCCGCTTCGGAGAGTGCTATCTCGAAGCGGGCCAGCGCCTAGTCGATCCGTTCTCCCGCATGGACGCGAAACGCAATGAGAGCCGCTCCCAAATTGAGTCGGCATTCCTATTCCAGGTTTTCGAACTACTGCTTAAGAGAAACATGATATAGGTGACGCCGTCGGTGCGGCGACCACCGATGAACACCGAAATTAACTACATGGCCACGGTCCTTGCGAGCCCACCCAGACGACGCTGTAAAGCCGCGGTCTTTTGGAAAGGGGGTCGTCGTGTCTGTGGTCATATTGATCCAGGCATGTACCTCGCGAGCGAATTCGCGGAAAGGTAGGATACCGGCGGGGCCCCAGCGGGGGCTGGCGGGGCGCGCGTCGCCCCCACCACGCTGCTGGTGTCCAACAGCACGTCCGACAGCGACCCATAGCCCATAGAAGGCCAAATCTGGCAATACCAATCAAATGTCATCGTAGGTCGCAGCCAGTTGTTTGTGGCTGTTGTTTGCGACGTGACGTTGCCATCGACTTGCGCGGGGCGGAGGCGGCACAATGTCGCATCGCATGGTGCCACGCATCGTATCTTCTAAGAAATTGCAAATTGGAGTAGGTGGGTGGACTCCAGGAGTGTAGTAGCGCAGAGAGGTAGAACTCAAGTAGGAAACCTCCGCGTGAACAGAGGCAGCGCTGCAAGTGCCCTTGCGATTGTGCGTATGTATATACAGTCCCCCGCGCAGAGCCACCGCACTCTGGTGTTCCACAATGTCAGTAGTCCACCAGATAGCGCCGTGGATGGTGAGGAATAGAGCGATAGTTGTCCTCCACAGGACAGCTCCGCCACCTGGTTTGAAGGGGGTCGGGGAGCCCAACCAGATGCTTCGCCTACGGCAAAGCCGGTATCCCACTCTGCTCTGCTATACCGCAGTAAGGACAGTCCCTAGAGCAGGAGAGGTGTCGCGGAGGCGACGAGCCATGTCAAGCGAATATGGTTTCGGTCTTACTGGCAAATAGTGTGCCCCGTGACGACGCATAGTCATATGTTGGCCTCCGGCCGCTTGAGCAAAAACGGCCGCGGACAAACGCTCGCCACCTTTCGCCTTTGCCCAACCTCCTTTAAACCCTCCTCCTCCTCATTCCTTCATTCCTTTCCTTCCTCCCTTCATTCCGTCCCTCCGTCCTTCCGTCCTTCCGTCCATCCGTCCCTCCCTCCCCCCCTCCCTCCCCTCATCCCTCCCTCCCTCCGTCCCTCCCAACCGCTCCCCCCCCCTTCCCCCCCCATCCCTCCCCCCCTGCCCCCCTGCCTCCCTCCCTCCCTCCGTCTGTCCCTCCCTCCGTCCCTCCGCCCTTCCGCCCCTCCGCCCCTTCCGCCCCTCCGCCCCTCCGCCCCCCCGCC